CCCCAAAACCCCAAAACCCCAAAACCCCAAAACCCCTAAATTGGAAAATTTAATTGAATTTTTGCGGTAAATTATTAAATTTTTAACCAATATCAGTATGGATTACGATATGCAAGACTCTTCGAATTTTTCTTCCTCTAGATATTCAAGAGGGTCAAAAAGGTATCAAAAAGATGTTGAAATGGAGTCTGACAATGGAGTAGATGATGAAGAGGCTGAATTCTTAAAAGGAGACAACTTAGATAGCCAACCTTCTACCAACTCTCGCTTACTTGTCCGCAGTATGAGTAAATCTCTAAGAAATCTGAAAGAATGAGAAGAGAGAGGCATAGATCCAGAAGATTTTGAAAATGAGCAGCATTCTCGTACAAGAAGATTAAATAATAGAGAAGAAAGTAAAAGGGGAGATACAAAATATGAAGAGATACGCATCGATCCTGAGAAGCAAAAAAGGAATATTGAGCAAGTTGAAATTCTTTCTAATGTAATCAGCAAATTGATATTAAGGCTCAGCAATTTCACCTCTATGTATGTTGGAACAAAGTTCTTCTATGAGCAGTATGATACTGTCATGGAAATGCTCAACAGATTCATTTATAATGAAAATCAGTCAATGATTTTGATGTCTCGTTCAAACACAGTTTTACATCAATTTATCAGTAAGATCAGGGATGACCTAAATGCAAAGCTCAAGGAAGAAGATTCTGAGTGAGATGTAAGAACAGTCAGGATAAACTCAATTTTGACCACCAAAGAGACTGCAATTCTCAATCATTTTGCAGAGTGATTAGGCATGGACAGCGTAGACAAGCAAGGCTTATCACAAGAGATGAAGGAGAGAATGGAAGATTATTTCAAACAGTTCCCTAACATTGCTGTCATTTTTATTCTTGAAAATGTAGAATACTATGTTGAAAACTCAAAGCAATCTCTTTTATATAAAATCTTGGACATGCTACAGTATGCTAAGATTAAGTTCGCCTTTATTGCTACTTCTCAAAGAGTTGACATCATCGATAGTTTTGAGAAAAGAATCAAAAGTAGATTCTCACATAGACAAATCCTATTTTATAGTGAAGATCTTGACACCTTTAAAGAGTGAATCGAGGATACAATTCAAAATATTGGTGAATATGATGAGACATCAGAGCAAGGAAGACAGTTTCTGGGCTCTTTGCATGATTTTATTATGGATTCAGAGTATGGGTGTTCAAAAATTTTCCAGAAATTATTTGATAAAGGAAAGGATTATGAATTTCTTTGTAGAACACTCAAAATAGCACTTTCTCACCTCAACAGTACCTACCATTCAGACCCAGACATGATTGAACATTTTGAAGATAATGGTGGAGAGCTTTTTAGGAAGAGTCTTGATTATGTAGACAACCTCTCTACATCCAATGATTTTAAAACAATTTTGTCAAGGATGCCGGAAGCTTACGTTGTGGTGTTGATTTCTGCAAAGAATTCTTTTCAGAATTGAATGCAAGAGTTCTTCAATTTCACTCTAGCTTATAATGAATATAAGTTATTTGTCAGAAGAAACCAAGGAAATATTGTGAGAATATCTAAGGAAACATTCATCAAAATCTTTATCGATTTAGTGAAGAAAGGATTCATCAAGACAAAGGCATCTACAGAGGCCATCATCAGTGTGAACAACAAAATGGGATTGGGAATCGAATTTGAAGAATTATCAACTATGATTAGAGAAAGAGTGAACTCAGACAAAGAGATTTCAACCCTCGTGAGAATATTTTCGGAAAATCGTTCTGGAGACACATCAAGATAATTTGATAATTCAATATTAACTTTAACTTTGGGGTTTTGGGGTTTTGGGGTTTTGGGGTTTTGGGGTTTTGGGG